CATTTTAAAATATGTAGAAACACCAAAAAAAAAAAGAAAGAAATTATGAACACACAAAGATCTGAAAAGAAATTTATCTGAAGTAAAATCAAAATAATAATTGCTTAAAAACTTTAAGAGTTCTTGTTCTTTAGGAAAATACCCAGGTGTCTTTTTGAAACACTGTTATTACCAAGGTGCATTATTTTAGGAATTAAAAGATGTTTCAGCGTTGGAAAATCTGTTATTGCATTACACAATATCAACAAAGTAAAGAATGAACGATCCGTGATAAACTCAATAGATGTCAAAAAAATGATAAACTCAATAGATGTCAAAATAAGTGTTTAATAAAATTTAACACTCATTTACGTTTAACACTTAGCAAATTAGAATAAAAGGGAACCCCTAAGCTGAGGAGGGGTTGTGAGGATCAAACTTAACAATAAAACTTAACAATGTTACCATCAGAGTTAGAATAAGACAAGGACGCCTGCTATCACTACTTCTCTTAAATGCTGTTAGGAGGTCTCAGTCAACACGATAAGACAAGAAAAACAAAATGAAACACATAATGGAAAGATAGAAACAAAACTGTGTTTTTGTGTAAATGGTAAGTTTGTTTACATAATAATCCGTGAGAGTCTTCAGACCATTAGAATTAGTCATTGTTCAGCAGATACAGTGTCAACCTAAAAATAATAATAGGACTTCTACACAGCAGTAGGAACTCATTCAAGAATAATAATACAAAAAAAGTACTTCATTTACAATAAGAACAAACTAAAATAAGCTAAGAACAAATATATGTTGATCTTTGTGGAATAAACTACAAAATTACTGATTGATATCAAAGAACTGAATAGACAGGTATACCAAGTTTATGGATAAGAAGACTCAAATTAATCCATGTAGAAATGCAATGACACTGAATTTTCAACAGGCTTTTTTCATGAGACATTATAAACTAGTCTTGAAATTCATTTGAAAGGACTGAAAGAGCACAGAAGGTCAACAATAGTTAAAACAATTTTGAAGAAGAAAGGGGTAGAGGCAGCCCAACCTATAAGATACCACAATTAGTAGTAATAATACTTATACTACAATT